TGATGGCATTCTTTCTCTTACAAGAATTCTTTTTGTTATCAATAGTGGGTTTTGAGAAAAAGGGTGAGATCACACTTGCATGCAAATTTGTCCTTAGCCATCTCCTCAGCCCTGTATCATTTTTTTAAATAGATGCAGCTTTCCTATCTTATAAACAGTATTGTTGGAAGTTTTTATCTTTGTGTATTCATCCCTTATCTATTTCATTCAAACCTATTTTTACAAATGGAGTATGTTAAAGGCTGTGTGCATGTTTAAACTTTGATGCACGCCATTAACTTTTAGAAGGCTCACTATCAGGGCTCCTCACTTGGAAGATTAAGGCCGCTGTCTTAGTCAGGGTTTCTATTGCTGTGGTAGAACACCATGACCAAAGCAGCTTGGAATGGAAAAGGTTCATTTCAGCTTACAAGTCCATCACGGGAGCCAGTGAAGCCTACTGGCTTGCTCCTCCTCCTGGCTTGCTTACTCCACTCCACCAGACCATGGGTGGCACCAGCCACAGGCAACTGGGTTCTCCCTCATCAGTTACCACACAGTAAAATGCACCACCAGCCTGGTGAGGGAACTTGCTCAATTGAGGGTTCTCCTAGCTGGTTTCAGCTAGAAGGGGCATCCCTGAGGTAGGTTTCACCAATGCACTGCTCACCCACCGCTTTAAACGGCTATTGACTGGTTGTTTAGTCTATGGCGAGATCCAGCTGAGTCTGAGTGGAAACCACTTCTGTCTATCCTAACCCTCCAGCCCCCTGGGTTCCCTCAGCTCAGATTGGTCTAGTCTAGTTCTGGAGAAAATGAAGTTCGTGTACACAGAGGCTCATCGGCTGGAAAGTGCCACTCTGAGGGCCAGAAGATTCAAAAGAAATACCCGGAGCAGCCTTGGTGGTAGCAGAAAAAGCTTCCGAAACTTGGATAGGAGATCTGGCCACAAAGAAGTACCTGGTGCCTTCTCAAATAAATACCTGGTGCTTCCTCAACTCTACTTTTTTATCCAGAAACCGATGCGGCTGTGTGCTGCCTTGTTTCTCTTTGTCAGCAACATCATTCCACCAGCAAGGCAGTGATAGGTCGGCTAAAGCAAGAACACCACGAAGACTTCTTTCCATATATTACCTGCAGTGAAGTGTCTGTAGTCTTCAAAGCTGCTGTCCTAGGAGGGGAGTTCCAGTCTACAAAGAAAGGGGAAGCCCTTTCCTTGACTCAACCTCCCCTTCCCCCTCGGGAGGAAGCACCATCTCCCTTCTTCAGGACCTGCTTGCCCTTAAACCTTTGAGGTTGTCTCCCCAGGCCCTTAGCCGGGCAATGGAGACTCAGGCCTCTGGCACCTCAGTTTGTCCTCCAACCCTGCTCAGCTCCTTCACTGACAACCTCTGTGACATCCAATGATTGCTCTAGTTTCTATTCCCTTTCTGACGGCCCAAAGGGACTCAGAGCCCCACAGTCCCTTCCTTTCACTACCTTCTTTTGGGGAGGTAGATGGGAAGGACTGAATTATAGAGAAGGTAGGAGACACGCCAAGAGAGGCAATCACCAAACTGAATTAAAAAAATGTATACATTGTTAGCTAACTATATTAAAAACTTGGGCCTGGCATTGGAGTTTAGTTGGTAGGATCTACTTAGCATGAACAAAAGCCGGGGTTTGATGACCAGAATCCCATAAACCAGGCATGGTGGCTCAGTCCTGTAAGCCCAGCACTCTGGAGGTAAGGTGGACCAAAAGTTTAAGGTCATTCTCAGCAGTTCAAGGCCAGCCTGTGACACGTAAGATCACAAAACAAAATACCTTCTCACTGGAGTGTGTGAAGGAACTGGTCCTACAGAACCATAGCCACAGGATCTCCATGACTTGAAGCAACAGCAGGATATCTGAGAGGAGATTCATTGGGGGTCCAGCATTAATGGTGTACCTGAAGCCAGAGGCCTTGAACCTGACCAACCACACACTACACAGTGAACATTTACAAGTAAAGCTGTTTGGACCAAAGGGTATGCTGTACGATTCACAGCAGCTCCCAATGCCACTAAGATGAACGAAGGGGTGATGGAGAGGTAGAAAAGATGGAGGGTTAAAGTGGGTTGTCTTGTTTGCTTGTTTTAATATTTTTATTTGCAATCTTAATTTTATTTTTTATCTTATTTTCATTATTTCTTTTTTAGTTTTCCTTGGGGAGTACACTACAAGGGTGAAGGGAAGATACAAAGGGACTGGGAGATGAGTAGGATTGGGGTATGTGATGTTGAAATTCCCAAAGAATCAATAAAACATTATGTTAATTAAAAAACAAAGCCACACCTCCTCAAGGATTTCAGATAAAGATACAGGCAAGCAAACCAATGACCCTGTTCAGCTACCAAGGGTACACAGTCTACAGTAAATGAGGAAGGCAGCTGAAGAAAGGGCTCTGGGAAGAGGACCTCCCTACAGCACAATGGCAGAGGCAGGGTTTGTGGGCAGAACAAGTGAAACTTTAAGAATGGGGTTCGGCAGAGGGAAGTTTGAACTTGGAATAGAGATGAGATGAGGAGCTCCCAGGTGAGCCCACACTGCCAACCAGTGAGAACGGATTTAAGGTCTAGGTAAACAGGACAGAACATGCAGATCTCCAATGGTGCATGTCTGTCTTTATTCGTTGTTTGCTTCTGTTTTGGGGAATGCAACCCAGGGTCTTGAGTGGCTAGCACACTCTACCACTGAGCCCCCCCCCAACCTTCCAGTCCCATATGAAGCAGAATTACAAGGATGGCACTGACCACTTGTTCGCTGAATCCACAGAAGCTGCTTAAAGAGAATTCACCAGGCATGTGCCAGAGATGGATCAGATAAACCCTGGAGACCCCTTGCAGCAATCTGTAAGCTTTAACACAGAGTTCTTATGGAAAGAATTATTGACATTTCAGTTTAGAACTTGGCAAAAAGGAAATCCTCAGCATTTCTGCTATTGAACATGAAAGCAATTGCTCTAGGTCACATTCTCAAAAACCTTAATGGCTCCAGTAACAGGAAACCCTGGGAAGCTGTACAGGGGCTATGATAAGCTGGCTCTCTGCTCCATCGGGCTTTTCCAGTCACCCCGCCCCAGACGTGATCCATGAGTGGTGTTCACCCTCTCATCCCTGATGACAGCATTGCTGTTCACATGCCTTTCTGACTTCCTGTGTTCACCCTCAAACCTTACTTTTCAAACCTTACCACTTCACAGATCGTTGTAAGCAATTTATCAGAAATCCTTAGAGCCTTAAAATCCTGGACTGAGGATGTAGCTCTGTGAAAGACTACTTGCCTAACAGTGTGAGGCCCTGGCCATGATTCCTCCTCCTTGCAAACAAAACAACCCACCAGTACACCTAGCTTTGACTCTTTCTGGGATCTCGCCAGAAAAAGCCATCTGAAAGGTACACAAAACATAAGCAAAAGATGTCCTCTCAAGTATCCCTCCCTGGGAACCCTACTCTCAGGGGTTTTCGTCACTTTCCTTCAATAAATATATGTTCAATCTACTAAAACAAAATAAATAAAAGTCTTCTGGGTCATTATTTTTACCTTTATCCTAAACAATCTTAAGAATACATAAAAATATTGAACCCCCATATTCAATAATTCATGGACACATTTGTGTCAGTTAACTACAAAAACATTATTAAAAATGTCTAGTTGGGCTGGGGAGTAACTCAGTAGTAAAGCTGAAGCTACAAAATGAGTATCCCGCCGGGCGTTGGTGGTGCACGCCTTTAATCCCAGCACTCGGGAGGCAGAGGCAGGCGGATCTCTGTGAGTTCGAGACCAGCCTGGACTACCAAGTGAGTTCCAGGACAGCCTCCAAAGCCACAGAGAAACACTGTCTCGAAAAACCAAAAAAAAAAAAAAAAAGAGTATCCCTGCTTATGTGTTTAAAATCAAATCCTAGCTATACTTAGTTTTTACCTGTGCACAGCTCCATGTATATATCTGAAATACCTGGGCAGGTTTTTTCTATAATTTATTTTTTGTGTTTGAGACAGGCTCTCTCTACATAGCCCTGGCTGTACTGGAACTCACTATGTAGACCAGGCTGGCCTCTAATTCAGAGAGCATGCACCATCTGCCTCTGCCTCCTAAGTGCTGGAATTAAAGGTGAGCACTATTATGTTTGGATCAACAGGTTTTTAAACATAAGCTACATCCAGGATATCTAGAAAGAAGAACAGTACCATTCTACAGGTAAATGTCCCAATTTGTCTTTAAACTGTAATTTCTCTGTTGTTTTGTTCAAGTTGCCTCCAGACAAGATCCACACATGACTTGTGATTGTAGGAGCTTTTATATCTCTAGAGTGGGACCTTTCCTTAACACTTTCCATGATGACAGTGACAAAGTCAGGCAGCTCCAGAAGCTCCCAACCCCAGAACAGTGATTCCTTCCTGTAACACGAAAAATAAACACCCAAATACTGGTACTGGGGCTCAAATTTCAAGCTGAAGGTCAGAAAAGCAAAGCAGCCAAGCCACTAATTCTTACCTCTACCTCAGGCTGAAAGGGCTGACCCATGAGCTCTCCTCAGCGTGGCTGGAGACTGAATGCCCCATCTTCAGTGTGACTGGAGAATGTGAGCCTCTCTGAGACCTCGCTCCTGTCTTTTATACTTCTCATGAGTCCTGGGATTAAAAGTGTGAGCTACAATTCAATTCTTCTTTAGACTGATTCAATCTTGTATAGATCTGGGTGACCTTGGACTCACAAAGATCCATCTACTTAATCCTGACTCCTAGGATTAAAGGTGTGTATCACTACCTCCTAGCTTCTGGCTGCTGGGATTAAAGGTATATGCTGGCTTCTATGGCTTGTGGCTGACTTTGCTTTCTCAATCTTCAGGCAAGCTTTAATAAATCATAAATAATATAGCACCACACCTTACCATTCCTACACAGTCAATCCATGTTAAGCCTCCTATCTGTAAGCCACTGGCCTCACTCCCAGATCCAGACTGGATTTGCTCCAGAGCATCAGAGAAGAGCCCTGAAGGGTCTCACCGGGGCAGTTTATTGCTTAGCCTTTAAGTTGATTACTTTTCATCTCATTGGCCAGAGTTCATTACATGTCACTATCCAAAGAAGGCCAGAAGTCACAGATAGGGATGTTTCAGTTAGCTACATTAATGGTTACTTGTCTGTTTACTTTTCTTCAACTGCCCTGTGAATTTTCTGAAAACAGAAGTTAATTCTAGAAGGGAAGACATGGAGATAGACAGATGGAAGAAGGTGGATTTTGCGATTTGTTTTTTTGCTCCACTGGCTACTTAAATAAAATAAGAATAAGACATAGTCAGAGAAGTCCTATTCAGTCATCCTATCCACTAGGTTCCTTGCTTCATAAAAATATCAGGATATAAAATGATGTCAATAATGACTGTTTGGGAGAAATACAGATTACTTTTTTTGTTTGGCATTTTTTCAAATCATAAATAAATAAGTAAAAAAATCATCAAAATCAAGACAAACCATCATAAAACCAAAAAACAACAATAACAGTAGCAACAACAACAATAACAGCACAACCCCCAAAACCAAAATCTCACAAATTGGCTTGCTTTTCAGTCTGGCTGGGTTCCAGGATGGTAGTCACACCTCCCCTGAGTACTTCTCCTACTCTGGACTCCCGCACCATACTGCTTATACTGCTCAATTAGCTTTTGCCACAATCACTTAATAAATTAAAAACTTAATGCACGGAGATCTCACAAGCTCTATAGTAGATTCTATATAGGCACAATGAATTATAAATTTTCATACAGAGTCATTTCCTTGAGTAAGCTGTATATTGAAGTCAAAGTTTCCTCATCGCCTCCAACACTGCTGACTCCTGTAACCAGAATTTCTTTGTCAAAAATACCGAAGAAAATATGAATAAACATGGAAACAGTGATAAAAATCTATTTAATAGTAAACATACCAAAGAAAAGTAGGTCAGAGAATTTTTCTGTAGTTACTAGGAAAGACTTGAGACTGCTAGTCCCTCTGCAGAAATGCTGTGCACAGATGCAAAATGATCGAAGGCTGAAACAATAATGAATCTCAAGAAAGTGGCGTAGCCATCTCGTGCCTGAAAGGGGAAAAAAATCAATATGGGTGCTTTTAGCAATCCTAGCAAACTATTAACAGGCAGTTGGCAGAACAGAGGCTTTGATGAAGAGTAACTTTCTAACATGCAACAGAATATAAGACAGAATTCAGAAGACAAGCCATCTTCATCTAGCAGTTGCCTGGGAGTGACTCAGCATGGTATCTAACATTCTTGGTTTTATGAAAACCAGTGGGAGGGCTATAAATGTACATTGCTGACCAACTGTTTTACAAGTGTCTTTCTAAAGTACTGTTTATGCTACGTGGTTTCTGCTGGTTAATGATGCCTTTGGATATACTATCCTGAAGCATGACATACTCTCACATTTATATAATTTCCCTGGAAACCAATTTGGCAATATATGTAAAAGGCCATAAAATATTTATACTCTTGGGCCCAGCAATTCCATTCCATGAAATTTAATCCTAGGAAATAAAAATTAAAAAAGGTGAAGGTCATAATCTCCACAGCATGTATTAATGTTCCCTAAGAATTATTTGTAATGACAGAAAAAAATAAATTAGCTTAAATGTATGTAAATATGTAAACAGTACCTCAAAAACATAATTATAAAGCCTTGGCTATAATATTAAGTTTAAAAATGATAAAAATTTTTCTGCACATTTCTGTTGTAACTATCTGAGATCTATGGTCAATAGGTACAAGAATGAATGCAGCCATTCTGCTAGGACAATAATAAAAGTGTGAGTGGTTTGCAGCCTCACTACTTTCCAAATGTTCTATAACCCTCCCCAGCGAATACCAAAGAATGCAGAGGCTTCCTAATCATAACCATAAAATCAGCACAATTACTCTTCTTTATGAGGGTCCCACTGGCCTCTCCAGTCTCTGATGATGAACCTCAAGGATCCTCTGTCTCTGCCTTGCCAGCACTGGGTTTACTGGTGGGTGCCACCATGCCTCACATCTTTGTGCAGGTGCTGCAGAGCAAACCCAAGTCTTACCACTTGTACTGCCAGTGGACTGAGCTCTCCCCACCCTCTGGAGAGTCTTTGAAATGCTGATTTCCCAGCAGCTCCTGGCAGGATGCAAAGCTGCAAACCCCACAGGTAGGAAGCCACTCTAGATGTCACGGAGAGCAGTTGTACACCAACACTGGCACCTAAACACACTTGGAGTGTTTTACTAGTTGCTGTTTGTTTAAAACGAGGGCGTGGCCAACTAGTAGAGACAGAGGCCTCCTGCTGAAGCAGCAGCAGCTTCTGTCAGCGGGCATTCATTCCACTTGACAAGGAGAGCCCAATGGAATGCTGCCGGAAAACATTGGTTCTCTTTCCACTTCAGCTCTCTCTGGCTTAGCTGTTGCTGATCCTCTGCTCTAGTTCCCTATCTAAGCCTCTCTTGTCCTTTCCCGTGTAATTAACATCCAGCTTTGACATCTCATCCCTTTTAGTCTCCTATTCTAAACGCCTTACAGAATCAGATGAAAGAAAGTAAACAAATACTTTTAAAATAAATGATTGAACAAAATTAAATAAATGAATTCAATTCTGTTCTATGCATAGAGCCACTTTCTCCAGGATTGGTTAAAAAAAGGGGGGGTGGCAATTAATAATACATTTACCAAATAATATTATTGAGAATAATCTCTAATGGTGAAGTAGGCAAAGAACTGCTAATACCACGAGAATATTCATCATGAATAATTCATGCTAGGAAAGTATAAAATCTAAATTGGGCTCACTAAAGATAATCTTAACTCTACAAAGTATGTACACTTACCACAATTTCTTCGTTTTGAAGTTGCCCCTCTGTGTGTACTAAATCTAAAACACAAATTTAATAGAAATAGATTAAGGCTCAAATAATGAGGATAGCTATGGAAATTTGTGCCCAGCAAAAAGTGATTACTTAGCAAACTATAAGTTAAAGACAGATTTAAAAGAATTATCATTATTTGGGGGTTGATTTAATATAAGACATTTGACTTTTAAAAACTAATGAGCTGTAAAATACCTCTACTGAGCCGGGCGTTGGTGGCGCATGCCTTTAGTCCCAGCACTTGAGAGGCAGAGGCACGCAGATCTCTGTGAGTTTGAGACCAGCCTGGTCTACAAGAGCTAGTTCCAGGACAGCCTCCAAAGCCACAGAGAAACCCTGTCTCGAAAAACAAAACAACAACAACAAAAAAATACCTCTAGTGAGTATAAACAAAAGACAATGCAAATGCAAATCATACTAACAAAATATACAGTAAGAAATTGGTAAAATGCAGACACTTCCCACTTATTGATCAAGCTCCTAGTAATTTCAAACTTTACCCACAAGAAAATTTCACTGTGATCTAGAACGGCCTGTGATATGATCTCTTCTGGTACTCAAATTTAGTAACATACAACTAGAATAGTTTACTTAGTCATGAGTTATTTATATTGAGTATTCTTTCAGAAATTTGAACTATTTAGTTAATATAATAATACCTTTTGACATTAATTTGTATCAAATAATGTACAGAATTTCAAAAGCTATCCAGGACCAAAGGGGAAGACTTTGGAAAATAAGATTCTGGAGGCTTTTTTTCTGCTCCCTAATGCTTTCCTTAGATAATAAAAACTATTATCTCCTGCTTTCCTGTGCCTTTTCCTCTGGTTATGTTCCCTAGCAGTGAATGTTTTCCACTCTGTAGCCTAGTATTGTGGTATGCACCAGAAATCCCAGCACTCAGGAGACTAAGGCAGAAGGACTGACTATAGTAAATTTCAGATCAGCCTAGGCTACATATGGAATAAAAACTGTATAAGGGCCAGGTGGTGGTGGCGCACGCCTTTAATCCCAGCACTCGGGAGGCAGAGGCAGGCGGATCTCTGTGAGTTCAAGGCCGGGCTGGCCCGACAGCCTCCAAAGCAATACAGAGAAACCCTGTCTTGTAAAACCAAAAAAAGAAAAAAAAAAGTGGTGGTAGGAGGTGGAGGATAGGGGTCCTCTGAGATGGCTCAGTGGTTAAGAGCACTGACTGTTCTTCTAGAGGGCCTGGGTTCCATTCCCAGAACTCACAACTGTCTATAACTACAGTCCCAGGGGATCTGATGCCTACTCTGGCCTCTGTGGGCACCAGACATGGTGAATAGATACATACATGCAAACAAAACATCCATATACATTAAAAATAATTCTTTTTTAAATTTTAGGTTGTTTATACTCTCTTTCTTGTTTACTTGTAAGTTAAGTTCATATTGTGGTAAGTAGACCACATGCCCACTTCCTGGCCTAACTATATGAACAGTACAATGCTAAAATAAGAAACTAATTATGAACTAGTCTCATTCACACTTTCCAGATCACCTGCTGCTCTCAAATTTAGGCCTTCCTGTGGTCCCATGTAATAAATTACCTTACGTCTCGATATTTTCCTGGGAATGCATTAGGTTACAACCTAGTCTGCTGTGTTCTACAAGTTATGCCTGTCCCTCTGGCAACAACAGCTGTTGATCTACATTTGCCTGCTTCACTAGGTTTATGTTTTCTTTTCTCCCTATAGTTTTATGTGTTTTTATTCTACTGTTTTCATGGTATTTTCTAAGAAAAGAAGATAGACACATGAAGTCATTATGTATATTTGTACTTAAATGGAAGATAGTAATTTAGTTGATGATGTTTATCAAAAAAATTTTTTTTGAAACAAGGACTCACTATGTCATGTTGGCTGGCTTAGAAGATCAAACTCAGAGACTCCCCCTGCCTCTACTTTCTGAATCTTGGGATTGAGGATATGTGCCACCATGCCCAGCTCAGTTTAAATAAACAGCACCATTAATCAGGAAAGAAAAGTACAAAATGAATATTTGTTTGCTTATCATATATAAGCCATTAGCTCACAAAAGCCTCAAATGTGTCATCTTTTTTTTGATAACCTAAATTTTGAAAATGTTGTTATATAAACAGTACATGAAGAAGACTACAAAATGTGTATTTTTCTAGGCCTTACCTGTGTTAAAGAATCATTAAAAATCATTTTTTATTTACCAAAATGCAGTTGGACTGATATCACAGAGTCAGCGGCCAGGCATCTGTTCCCTCATGTTCAGAAAAGTACTGGCATCATACACACCTTTTTCAACCCACTGCTCAAAATCCAATGGCTCTTTAGATGTGGTCTTTTCAATCCTCAAGGTCCGCACTGGCATTATAAACAGAATAAATAAATGTTAATTAGCTATTTAGTTCTGTTTTGTTGTTTCTGCTACTTGACTACCATAGATTGATGGGTACTACACAAAGTGCTGGGACCAGGAATAACATGTCCTGGAAGCCATGGCTGTTTTCCCTAAGTCCCTATGACAAAATGTGACACTGTATAATGGCAATCTTGCCTCTGTTTATCACTCAGAGCACAAATCTAATAGAGCTTGTCTGAATTTGGTTATTATCTGGAATGTTTGTATATTGGTTGTGATACTTCTGGTAGCCATGGTTGTAAACCTTCATGGAGAACATGCTGAGTCAGGCATCTTTGTTCATTTTCTCTTGGCTGTAGTCTTTTTGTTGTTGTTGGTTTTGTTTGTTTGTTTGTTTGTTTTTTTCCAAGACAGGATTTCTCTGTGGCTTTGGAGACTGTCCTGGAACTAGCTCTTGTAGACCAGGCTGGTCTCGAACTCACAGAGATCCACCTGCCTCTGCCTCCCAAGTGCTGGGACTAAAGGCATGCGCCACCACCGCCTGGCTTGGCTGAAGGCTTTATAAGAAATATATTACTAACCCACTTTCCTGATGAGGACACAGGTTTACAGAAGCTAGACAAGGTGTCCAATGGACTAAAGAGTTCACACATGAGGCATTTCCCACTCTAAGGCCTCCATAATTCATGACAGAAGAAGGTCCCTACATGACCCCTCCCCCAAGAACCATCCTTCCTCTTCTCTGTCCTGTTCTGGAGGGGCTTGTTTCTATAGATTGTAGCTCCTAGAACAACTAGCTTCTCTTTGGAGCTGGTTAGTGGCAGGCACCAGAAAATTGGAGGGCAGAAAGTGAGAGTAGGATATTTTATTTACACTCTGTCCTGCTTCACGCCATGTCTTTGATAGTAGTCCTGTTCCTTCAACTACAAAGCTCCTGCTAGCCTGGTCCCCCTGTACAGCCCCCAAATCTCCCTGGGCTCTGGTAACACTGTTCTTTCCTTGTCCCAGGACAGCAGTGGCTCCACCTTGTAGCTAGTTTTTGAGAGCCATTATCCCTTATTCATTCCTGCAGCTCAGGCCAGAATTTTATAAGTAGATCTATTAATAAAGTCTCTTCATTTGAAACATCTGAGGTCTATTCTGTTTCCTGCCATGATTCTATCTGATACACTTTATCACAGACAGGACTTAATGTTCCAAGGGGAGATTCCATTCCTAATCCCCAGAAAATGTCATTAGCAATAGAGTATCAAAACTATCCAGTGGGAATAATTGGGGTTATCAGATTTACAGAAAGAGTCTAAGAACTACAGGCTAAATGAGCCCAGGATGAAGATGTCATAGGACCTAGCATCCTGGCAAGCCAGCTTCTTACATCCTAATTGAATCTTCTGCCAAAGACTTTCACACAGTAAACTGCATGGAAACTATGATGTGCTCTGGAAGGGTTTCAAATTTACAGTTGAAGAGAGGCTAATTGTGTTGACCCATACTCTCCATCTCCCATTTCAGCAATGAAACAGGGTCCCATGCTGTAAAGAAAAACTAGTTCTTTGCCAAAAGTTGACATGTGTCCTCTGCCTATGGAAAAATTAAAGAATAATAAAAAGTTAAATTTGTGATTTGCTTACCTAAGTAACTTTGGATCACAAGCTTTTCAATCTTTATGTGTTTGTGAAAACAAATAATGAACTCCTGGGGAAACATGCCTGTGGTGGTCCAAAAGGTTTCTGGATTCCTAATGTTAATTTTAAAGGAATAAAAAGAATATAGATATAAAAATTAATCATAATGTCCTAATGAATAAATATTAAAAACAGCTACCATTTTATTTTAAAATCCCTTTCAAACTTAGTTCTGCCTATGATCTTCCCAACTTTAGTACTTTTTTTTTTTTTTGGTTTTTTCGAGACAGGGTTTCTCTGTGGCTTTGGAGGCTGTCCTGGAACTCCCCTGGTAGTCCAGGCTGGTCTCGAACTCACAGAGATCCGCCTGCCTCTGCCTCCCGAGTGCTGGGATTAAAGGCGTGCGCCACCAACGCCCGGCAGTACTTTTTTTAAACTACTGACAGATACCCTCTTTTAAAATGCAGAAACAAAACTGATGTCACTCCCATCTACAGGCCTTCAGCAGCCCCTACAAACTATAAGCCCAACTTCTTTAGTTCCATCACTAAAGTACGCTGCCTTCCATTACATCATCCCATCACCGCCGCCACAGCCAACTGCTTACAGCTCTCGAACACATCATGTAGACTCATGCTTCTACAGCTTACTTAATGAGTTCTCCTGACCCCAGAGCCCTTCTGCCTCTTGCAAAGTATATGGTTCCTCCTCCAACTCTAACAGACGAGAATCACGGCCTCCATGCTTTCTACTTGCCTCACCGCATTCGTGCCCACCCTGACACGCATCTCTTGCCCTTTTGTGGCTCCTATGGGCCCCGACACTGGCCTTTCTTTACTTTTAACAGGCTCTTTAAAAAAATCTATGTATTTATTTATTATGCATAGAGTATACTGTCTGCATACACAATAGAAGAGGGCATCAGATTTCACTATAGATAGTTGTAAGCTACCCTGTGGTTGTTGGGAATTGAACTCGGGACCTCTGGAAGAACAGTTAGTGCTCTTAACCTCTGAGTCATCCCTCCAGACCCAACCTTTCTTTATTTTTATGTTCTAATAACTATTATAGTAGGGGATCCCTAGTATATGAACAATGTTTGCTGAAAACAAAACATGAAGTTTCAATTCAAGTCTCATATACATATATATACACATATATATACATATATGTGTGTGCATGTATATAAAATGTCCATACTCAATACCATATGTGAAATAGTCTGTTCAGGTATGACATTGGCTATAGAAATAATCATTTCTGAGCCGGGTGGTGGTGGCACACGCCTTTAATATTGCGGGGGGGGGGGGGGCAGAGGCAGGTGGATCTCTGAGTTCGAGGCCAGCTTGGTCTACCAAGCGAGTTCCAGGACAGCCTCCAAAACAATATGGAGAAACCCTGTCTCGAAAAAAACCAAGAAAATAATAATAATATTAATAATCATTCCTGTTTTAAACAATATAAGGCTTTTCTTTCTTTTTGGGGAGTAAAAGTTATATATAATAAAACTTAAGTGTAATGAGTTTTACTCCCCAAAAAGAAAGAAAAGCCTTAAATTATTTAAAAGTTTTGATAAATGTATATATTCTCATGTAACTGATTCACCAAGGTAACCAATACCCACAATGAGGACACAGAACTCTCCCATGATTCCAGAGATTCCCTTATCTTTCCTCCAGACAGTTTCTTTTATTTGTTTTCGAGACAGGTTTTTCTGTGTAGCTTTGTAGGCCAGGCTGGCCTTGAACTCACAGAGATCCACCTGCCTCTGCCTCCCAAGAGGGCTGGGATTAAAGGTGTGAGCCACCACCAACTGGCCCTCCAGACAAATTTCTACATTCCCTTAGGCAACAACTGCTTTGACTTCTATCATGGACCTTTATACTTTACTCATTTCTTAGCAGCTTTTTCCCCCCCAGTGTAGGAGAGTGAACCAGGGGCCTTGCATGTGCTAGGCAAGGGTTGTACTGCTGATCTACACACTTAGCTTGTTCTGTCCCCCCTCCCCACACCCCTGATCCAGGATGGAATTTTTCTGTGTACCGGCCCTAGCTGTCCTGGAACTTGTTCTGTAGACCAGACCAGGCTGTCCTGGAACTCACATAGATCCAGCTTCCTTTGCCTGGGATTAAAGGTGTACACCACCACTGCCTACCACTTGAGCTGTTTTTTTTGTTTTTTGTTTTTTTTTCCCGAGCAAAGTTTCACAAGGTTGCACAGGATGGCCTAAAACTTGCTGTGTATCTAAGGATGACCTTGCACTGTTCATCTTCCTACTTCTACATCTCTCCACCTTCCAAGTGCTGGGATTACATGCATGCACCACTACACTCAGTTTCATACCACTCTGGGAACTTAATCTGGGCTTCATGCAGATAAGCACTTTACCAAGTAAGCTTCATCTCCAGCTTCTGTAACTGAAATTTGCAAATTTTTACTTCTAACTAATATACAGTTATACAATTAATTTTAATAATACCTTGATTTTTGTATCCACTGAATTTACTTACTAACTCTACTAATACCCCCCACCTTTTCTTTCTTTTGAGTCAGGGGTTGAAACAGGGTTTAACTATGAAGCCATCTCACTAGCCTGATGCTGCTGTTTTTTATGTAAAATTGGAAAAGTAGAAATAATGTCTATCTACTTAAAATGAATGAATACTATGTGCTCCATCAACATAATTATTGTTTGACAATAAAAATTAAATAGTAATATGTATTACAAGATAGCGGAACCTTAAAAATCATGTAAGTGAAAGAAGCATCACAACAGTCTCCATGGTAACAGGGTGTGGTAGCTCATGCTAAGAGAGGAGGATCCTGGCAAGTTCAAGAGTTCCAGGCCTGCCGGGCGCTGGTGGCGCACGCCTTTAATCCCAGCACTGGGGAGGCAGAGGCAGGCGGATCTCTGTGAGTTCGAGGCCAGGCTGGACCAACAGCCTCCAAAACAATACAGAGAAACCCTGTCTCGAAAAACCAAAAAAAAAAAAAAAAAAAAAAAAGAGTTCCAGGCCTATCAATTCCACACTTAGACCTTGTCACAAAAACACAGAAAAGGGGGCTGGAGAGATGGCTCAGAGGTTAGGAGCCCTGACTGTTCTTACAAAGGACCTGAGTTTGATTCCCACTGCTTACGTGGTGGCTCACAACTATCTATAATTCTAGTGCCAGGGGATCTGATACTCCCTTCTGGCCTCTGTGGGCACCAGGCACACATGACATGTACAGGCAAAACACTCATACCCATAAATTAAAAAAAAAAAAACCAAACGAAAAAACAAAATGAATAAACAATAGATCTCATGTGAGATAGGCATGGTGATGCAGGTGTATATAACCCCGCATTTAAAAGAGGATTCCTATGGGTTTGAGGCCAGCCTAGGATATACAATAAATTGCTTAATCCAGTGACATCCTGCTTTAGAAACAAAACCAAGCCACAATATGTATGATTCTATTTATATAATTCAACTTATAATATTCAACTGTTCTTTCCCAGGGCGTGGGAGGTGAATGAATATTTATTGGGTATTGAACACAGATTACTTGTGTGCAGTGATCTACTATTATAGTCCTAGCCTTTTTTTTATGATTTGAGACAATATCTTGCTAAATTGCCCAGGTTGGCCTCCAACTTCACTGAAGCACTTCTGTCCTAGTCTTCTAAACACTGAGATATCTCACATTCAGTTTTGGTGTTTTCTCTGTAGAGTTTCTATTCTCCCATTTTACTGACATATTAAGTAGAGAGATCATATATTTGGGTGTATACATTTATATGTGTGTACATGTGTATAAAGCACACTCATGTTTTCCAACATTAGTCAAGTCTAACAAATATTTGGTGTTCTAAATCAACAAACTAATCAACAGGCAGTTCAAGATTCTGTAGCGTCAAAGGTAAACAAAACACAGACTGATGTTCAAGAATTCTGCTGAGAGAGGTCACTAACATAAACAATTACAAAAATCAAATCACACAATTTCATATTAGGGACTTAACCGGAATGCCCCTGGAGCCTAGCAAAGACATGACGTAACCCTGCCTGAGGGAAAAGGTGTTAGAAAAGAGCAGCAACTGACCTTGAAGGAAGAGGTCTGATCTGATTGTTGAGATCTTGCCCAAGCACAATATATTTGGAGACTTATAACATCTCCATCTTACAACTGGCTCTGCTTCAATAATTAAAACCAGTGTTTAATGTGTATACCTGTCTTCCTACAAGTCTAAAATAAAGATAATCTAACAGATCATTTCAGCTCTAAAATGATATGATTCCACCAGTCAAACTGTCGTTAAGTATACACATTGAGAGGATTTAGAACAGTAATAAGCCAGAACGATTTAAGAGAGGTGTTCTTAGACTAGAGAGATGGCTCAGTGGTTAAGAGTACTGGCTACTCTCCCAGAAGACTCAGAACTCACAAGGTGGCTCACAATGGTCTATAACTCCAGTCAAGGGGATCTGACATCCTCTTCAGGCCTCTTCAGGCACTGCACACATCTGGTGTACAGACATATGTGCAGATAAAACACATATAAAACAAAAATTTTAAATAAATAAAAGAGGTGTGTTCTCCATTAGCCACTTTTTCTTGGAGTTAAAGGTCTGAGAATACTAATTACCTCTACCTAGAATAAACTCTAGCCCTGGCCAAGTGGAAATTGGAATGAGACACACAATGCAGGATGTTTCAGAATATTTGTTTACACTATAAAGAGGTGTCTCTGCATAAGGCACCTTCTGATTGGTTTAATAAAGGGATAAATGGCCAACAGCTAGACAGAAGAGAATAGGTGGGACTTCCAGGCAGAAAGAAAGTGAAACTGGAAGGAGAAATTGAGGCAGAAGCTCAGATTCTCCAGTGAGTCAGGGAGAGGAAACAGGAATGGAAGAAAGGTAACTCCATGTGGCAGAACATGTATTAATATAAACATCAAATTGTAAGACCTAGTTGGGAAAAAGCCTAAGCTAAGGCTAAGCTTTCATAATTAATAATAAGTCTCTGAGTTATTATTTGGGGGCTGGTGGGTCAAGGAAGTCTGACTATATGCAGGAAAGGCAAGAAGTGAGTGAGGCATTCTGCTCAGCAAAAATGTTTAGATCAGTAAGCAAACAGGTAGTATATAGGAAGTAACAATGCTTTTTATATTTCTATTTCCAAGAAAATTTGGAATTAAACTAAAACCAGATATTAAAATTTATTCTTCCATAGGATGAAGTTGCTGTCTTGTTTTTTTTTTTTTTGTATTGGTAAACCACTTTTAAAAAATCTATTTATGAACTAGGAAGACAGCTCATCAGTTAAGAGTGCACTGGCTGCTCTTGCAGAAGACCTGGGTTTAATTCCTAGCACCCATATGGCAGCTCACAACTGTAACTTACATCTAATAACTCCAGTTCCAGGGGATCTGACACCTTCTTCTGTCCTTGAGCATTGTACACGTGTGGTACATATACATACATATAAGCAAAACACCAGTATGCATAAAATAAAAGTTTAAAACACACACACACACACACACACACACACACACACCTATTTGCAAACTAGGAATGATAGAACACAACTATAATCCTGGACTCTGAAAGCTGAGACAGGATAATTTTGAGTTTAGGACAAATCTAAGTTACACAGTAAGACCCTGTCTTAGAAAACTCAAAGCACAAATAAACAGGAAAAGAGTTGAGGGAACAGCATGATGGCAGAGTGCTTGTCTACACTGGGACGGCCCTGGGTCCACTTTCCAGCACCGAAAAGGAGAATAAATTAAAAAAAAAAAACAAAAAAAACTAAATCTGTTTGCCCAAAGAGGTCACTCTAAGAATTATTAAAGATAAAAACCTTAAATATTTACAGTGATTTAGTTTGAAGAATGACTCCACAAACTGATGGAACATTAAGCCTGGAAGTAGGACAGAAGGAACAGTCACTCTTACCCATCGATGATATTTTCAGGTGGGTGCTTTTCATCACTGGAGGTAGCCAGAATCACTTCAGTCCCTTCAGTGCTCAAACAGAGGTCAACCTTCCTCATCTCAAAATGTTTAGCCTGAAAATTTTATAAAAATACAGTAACGAAAAGGCAAACTTTTAATTCTCAACAGAAGAGAAAGCAAGGCTGTTGCCTAGCACACAGTTCAACAACCAAGCTATTCTAAACGTGGGAGGGACTTGCACATGTTTGTTTCTGCAAACTCTTGCCCTCTCCCTGGGATGGCCTATAAAATATGGTGATTCCCACTTCTAGACTCCACAAAATGTCTTTGACTACTTGAACTAACATCATTATTCTGCTTCTAAAATTAAAACCCTCAGTCATATAGAGACAGTTAACAAGCTTTGCTGACATAAATTATGGGTGATTTTTTATTGTAGTTATACAGCTGTATTTATGAAAATTTATTAAAAATTTGGAGGATAAATGCATATATACCCTTATCAATATAAGTATCAAACAACACTTACTTTGGGGATTTCTGTTTTTGAGACTGGGTCACTCTGCAGCCAGGCTGGCCTAGAACTACAGCAGACTTTTTGCCTCAGCCTCTCAAGTGCTAGGATTACAGGCATGAGCTCCCACACCTGGCTGTATTTTTTAATCTTTCTTTCGGGGGAGGGTAGGTCTCTCATCCTTAGGGTTCTCTTTTGTCTGCTCTCGGTGAGGTGAGTTTTCAGGTCTGCCAACACACCAGGCTTATTTACAATTTGAAACACTATCTTTGGTTGCTTTTTTGAGGCAAGAGCTTTGCTTTGTTAGCCATGCTGTCCTCAAGAACTCCTAGGTTCATGTGATCCCCCTCCTTCAGCCTCACCAATAATTAAAATTACAGGGACTCATAACAACAGCAGCTATCGTTTTCTGGATAGGAACATGAAATAAGGCAAGTGAAAACTTTATTTTAAATTCTGAGCTAGTCACCTGGTCAAGAGACTTAAACCCATCTCTGCTGAAGACATCTTGTAATGAGCTCCACTAGGCTGGACATTAGAGGATAAAACAGAGAAAGGATTCTCTCAGATCTTACCCTCTGTTTTCCCTGTTCTGATGGTGATGCAGACAGATGTGAAGTAACTTGACAGCTGTGTGTATGCCTGCGAGAATGCCAGAAGACAACTTCCAGAATACCATCTACCTCCTCTGAAGGTCTCTTATTAGCACTGAGTTGACTAGCACATACCACCACATCTGGCTTTTTGGCAAGGGTTCTAGGTTCAGTTCCTAGCACTTACACTGGGCAGCTCACAACTATCTGTAAGTTTAGCTCCAGGGAATGAGATCCCCTCTTCTGGCATTTTATGTGTGCATGTAAGCACATACACACAAGGAAAAAAATGCTAAACTATATTCTAGATACAAATCGTGTCTCACGTGTCTTTATAAATGTCTTGATTTGTCTTTTTAATTTTGTTTTTGAAACAGCTTCTCACTATTAACTCAAACTCTAATCCTCCTGCCTCAATCTCCTGACTGTTAGGATTATAGATGTGCTTGGTTTATGGCTTGGATTTGGCTTTGATGCAAGCGTTGCCTACCCAACTATAACATGCACATAAAAAAGGGACCAATAACAAGCACATATTCAAGAAAGCTTTAGAATATAGAGCTTGTGAGAAGTCTTCCTCATCCCTTCTTGATCCTACCTCTGCTTCCTCCCCACAAGGAACAATGATTCTACTTCTAACACTGTGAATTAATTCTGTCTAAATTTCATGTACATGGAATCTTATTTCGGGCTTATTGCTACCTGACTTCTTTTCCTCATTATGTTTGAGAAATTTATCAATGTCATATGCAGCACCATTAAGTACAGTTAGGCACAGCTGCAGCACAGCCCTGTGCATGTCACCTGAGATGAGATCAAAGAAACAAGCCCTTGTGAACTTCACAAGAAGCTGGAACTAGCTGAGAGAAAAAAAAAGGGGGGGGGGAGGGGTTTCTTTGGTTTTGGGTACATAAGAGACAACCAATGAAGGAGAAATTAAGCTTACTACTTAGTTTTCTGAAACTAGAAGTAAACTGAACATTTAAAATTGCAACATGGTCTAACCCAGCAGAAGAATTGATTTGTCTCTTATCCCAGCTCCCAGACAAAGGAAAATTTGTGAAAGACATGAACCCTCCAGGGGAGAAATTATCTGTTTACTCTACCTTTTGTTGAGACACTACATCAAATAAGATTAGAAGCAGCTCAATAGATGGCTCAGGTCCTGGAGTTACCCACATGCTAATTTATATTAGAAGTTACAAAGATAACTATATATAAATATCTGTCAAATAATTTAGAAAAAATGGACAAAATGGATGAACAGAAAGTGAGTTTTACAAGACAAATGAAAACTCAAAGGAACAACACAGAAACTCAGGAATTGAAAAATACAGTTATCTAAAGCTAAAAAAGTTAGTTAGGCTTACCATCACATTAAGCAAAGCCTGGTGGGACTGGCAAGATGGCTCAACCAGTAAAGGTGCTTCCAGCCACACTGACGTGACTCTAATCCCAGAACACACAGGGCAAGGAGAGAGTCAGCTCTGCAGGCTGTGCTGACTCCCACTTGTGAGCCAGGGCATACAACATGCACACCAACACATACTAAGTAAATAAATAACCATAAAGAGAACAGTAAAGATCTGTGAGCACAAGTATGGGCTGATGGTATAATGTAATGGCAAAGTACTTGTCTGACATTAAAAACATATATATTTGCTGCTTTTCCAGAGGACTCAAGTTTAGTTTCCAGAACACACATTGCTTACAGACACCTGTAACTCCATCTCCAAGGGCTCTGACACTCTTTTCTGCTCTCCACAAGCACCCACACACATATGGCATACACAAAGAAACACACACACACATAAACAAATGAATCTCAAAAAAAAAAAAGTGAAGGAGGCTGGAAAGATGGCTCAGTGGTTAAAGCACTCATGTAGTAGCTAACTACCATCTGAACTCCAGTTCCAAAGGGTCTGACGTTCTTATCTGGCCTCTGAGGGCACTCCATGTGTGTGGTGTACAGACACACATGCAAGCAAAACACTCATTCACATAAAATAGAAATGAATTAACTTAAAAATAAACAAGTAAACAGAGCATCAAACGAAATAAAATCAAACTAGTCAGAGATATGCACAATTGGAATTAGCATCTTATGAAGGAGGAAACGGAATAATGTAGGAAAAAAATTATGAAGAAACATGGCTGAAATTTTCCCCAAATCTAAAATAACTCCATAGAAATTTTAAACTTTAAGTTGAGCAAACAAATAGAAGCTTCTACTTAGGCACATTAGTCAATAGCTAAAAAAAGAAAAGCAGTCAGAGCAAAGATCACAATAACATATCTCTGGAAACACCATCCCTCCAGAGGTGTACTTTATAATGTAGGTCGTTTTTAGTCCAATCAAGATTAACCATCACAGTACATGTAGCTTCTAGACTACATCTATGAGAAAGAATGGAAAGCAAGGATCGCTGACCTGGGCTGCAAGCATGACTTAGAGTACTTGCCTTACATACAAGCAACAAAACAAGAACAACAGAAAACAAACAAACAAACCCAAGCCTACTGAATGGCCTAAAAAATAATAGCAATAGAAAATAGAGATGGAGAAGCAGCAAATATGAGCCTGGTGTGGTAGCATATGTTATAATTCAAGTACTCAGGAGAGGGAGTTAGGGAGTCAGAAGCTCAAGGATACTCAAGTGTATAGCAAGCTGGACACCAATCTGAGCTATACAAGACCTTTCTCAAAAATAAAAAACAAAACAAAGGCAATAAATGATACAAAGCGAGAAGAAGGCAACAAAATTGTACTTACAGATCATGTTAGTAAAATTCTTAACACTGAACATGAAGTAATATAATATTAATTCAAAATAGACTAGGGGGCTGAGGATACAACTCAGTGGTAGAGTACTGACCTTGCACACACAGTGTCTTGGGTTAAATCTCAGCACTGCAAAACCACAGACAGACAGACAGACAGACAAACACACTAGGAGGATGTTAAGGATGAATGTCATAATCCTAGGCCTTTTTTTTTTTTTTTTTTTTGGTTTTTCGAGACAGGGTTTCTCTGTAGCTTTGGAGGCTGTCCTGGAACTCACTTTGTAGACCAGGCTGGCCTCATACTCACAGAGATCCACCTGCCTCTGCCTCCCAAGTGCTGGGACTAAAGGTGTGCGCCACCAACGCCCGGCAATCCTAGGACTTTATAGTAACTAGTAACAATAAAGAAAGAAGGCTTCTCTGGTTCAAATGGTGGAAGTTTGGTCTCTAACTATACTGTAAGGTGGTGGGACCTTTAAAAGATGAAACCTACAGGGAGGCAAATGGGTCACAATAGGGCTCCTAAGGGGATTAGTAATGGGTTTTAGAAGAGTGGATTCATGTCTGTGAATAGGTCTGGTCCCTCCCTGCTCTCCTGCTCCCTTTTCTAGCCTTGTGACCTCTCCCCTACATGCTATCCCCTATGAGATCCTCATCCAAGCCAAGCAGATGTTAGCATGGTCTTTGCTCTCCAGAATGGTGTACTAAATAAACTTATTTTCTTTACAAATTACCCAACTTCAAGTATTTTATTATGGAAATACAAAACAGGCTAATATAAAAGCCAAAAGAGAAGAAAAGATGCAATGCCAGAAAAATACTTGACTATATTGAAAGAGGACAGGAACACAGATTTAAATAAAAACAAATGATTTCCCCATTTACCATTACTAAATTAAACACTAGACTAGACTCAATTTAAAAATCAATCAAATAATATTTTCAAGAGACACTCTCTTAATTTTATAAAGACACAGACTGAAAGCAAATGATAGAATATGGCATAGTTTTTCCTTCCTTCCTTCCTTCTTTCCTTCCTTCCTTCCTTCCTTCCTTCCTTCCTTTCTTTCTTTCTCTTCCTAGACAGGGTCTTTTTATATCGGCTGAGCTGGCTTTGAACTTCCCATGTAGTACACCCTGACCTTGCATGCTTGATCCTCCTGATTCATCCTCTTATGTGCTGATTACAGGCCTGTGTCACTATGCTTGACAGGTATATAGT